TCTGACCTTTGTCCGAGCTGTCTCTTCATCTTCGATGACACCCAGGTCTGCCATGCGCTTCATTCGACCTCTCAGAACGGTTTCTCCAAGATCAAGTTTAGCTTTCCTGCCCGTTGGACTATAGAGATAATCCAGAAATTTCAAGATTATTTGTTCATTACATTCCAAAGATGTATTCCAGTTGGATTGTTCAATCCAACTGTACTTACCACAGAATACTATCCATTCTTTTGCCTCAGCTTTCAAATCGCTGCAACTGTCATCTGCACTCAAGATTACCACGAGATCTTCCATGGCTTCAACTTTGTCAATGTCAATCTCCGACTTCTTCATACCTCACCGTTGACTGCTCCTTCTGTTTTTGGCCTGCTCTCCCTTCACCCACTCTTGAATAGAATCTACGAACTGTGACTTTCTCTTACAGCGATCAAGTAGTTCGTCAAGATGATCAAAGACAAAATTTGTAAACTCTGGAATTCTCAACATTTCCCAGCCTGGAAGGAAATTCTTGCATACGAGTCTCATAGCCCTAAAAATCACCGGAGGTTTCTTCAATTCTCCTATATACTCTCCTGTCATTGGAGAATATATCTTTTGGTCAAAATACCTCTTAATCATCTGGACACACAACTCAAACTGTCATTTCTGCAACATATATACGGTTATTGCAATATGAACATAATAAATCAAAAATTTTGTGAAAGTCTACATGAATTCAATTTAAAATAAACAATGCAAATAGAAAAAAAAAACTTGCCACGGAAGAATTGCATACCTCGGCTCGAAAGAAGTCAAACTTATCTTGCTTGTGCTTGATCCAACGCTAACAAAAATTACCAAAATGCTTGTCACAAGAGTCAATCAACTCTTTCTTGTAAGCCTTCCTAGAAACTCTAGTCCTCTTTGGTCCAGGTGGAAGCTTCTAAGTAATTTGGAGATGACAGTCCACATGGTCTTTCCTCCAATGCTTTTCGATATAATTTTTTTGGGAAAATGTTCCTGGGAAAGGACAACCTTGCAGTAGGCATTTCCAGTTATGCCTACCGCCCTTGGTGACGTGTGGCACCTTCGCATAGTGCCTATCCAATATCGCATCTTCCATTTTGCCCCCAAATACTCCCGCCATGACCGCTCACTACACCGTTGGCTCGCAACAAGAAGTCAAGGTTTCAAGGTTTTAAGCCCAGTACCAACTGAAGCATTTGGCATGCCGTATGCTAGTCAAGAGTCTTCTGTCGAGGTTCTAAGAGTTGCAATAAGAGAAGAAACTGATAAGACTACCTTAAAGATTCTTCTGAGTGAATCGATGCCTAAGAAGCGAAAAAAATGTTCAAGAAATTATCATAATTTTGGCTTTGGCCTACACTTCTCAAGCAACTCCCTGAAGAACTCAACAAAGACATGGATTCAACACATACTCCGAGTACCTGACCAGTAGAAACTTGAGAAATCTTTGGTACCTGCAAAGGAAAACGATTTTGGCTGCAACACATTGCGGAAACAAAATTCATTGTCATCTTCAAAGCCTGAAGCTGTCCAACAAAACTGAAGAGCAATCACATTTCTCATGAAATGCGGCTCCTTAAGCTTGTATCTCAGATAGTATAGAGCCGAAATGTATATTTATGGAACTAATTAACTCACTTGCACTCCAAGCATGCGGCCAATAATCATCAAGGCATCCTGAGTATTCTTATTCTCTTTGAAAAGGTGAAATCTGCATAAGTTGCTCAATTGTCTCATTGAGCGTTAGTCATAAAAGATACAGCGACAAAATGTAATTTAGTGTGAATATTAACAAACAATCGTAACAAAGATGGCCAATAAAATAAAGTTCTTACCGTGTCCAATGTTGGCTATTGAATCCTGGTTGATATCGAACTTATTAAACAACCCTGAACTCCCAAGTGCATCTTGGTGAACTTGAGAATTAATAGTCACGTGTTTTTCATATTGCTTTCTCATGATTTGATTAAAACCGACTTATACATGTCATCCATTAATTATGATGGTAATGAATAAGAGAAACGATCACAGTGTAATATGGTATATAATTTCCATCAGCAATATGGACATGATGTTGAGTCTTGGACAACTACATGCTTAGTGCGAGTATAGGCTAAGTCCAAGCGAGCAAGAGCAAATCTAGCACCTTCCCAGACTTAACCCTGGAAACAGTATCTTTGAAGTAACCCATGAGCTCAAAAAATAGCACCATACAGTACATAGCAATTTCCAAAGAGATGCATTCTCATTAAAAGAATGGTAGTTGGACGTGAGAGATCTTTGGAGATCCGTCAGCAGGGAGAGAAGGAAAACCTTTCAGTGGATCCTCAAGCTAAAATTGAACCCTGATGAATCTGTTCCAAGCTACAAACGCTCGACTCGTATATACGTAGATATATGGTTTAGACAATACCAATACCTTTCTCACCTGAGGTAAAGATACAATCGGGAAGGCTGTTTCTCGCAATTCCTGCTGAAAACAGTTTGCATGTGCATCAGACGAGATTTGAAACATCGTTTCTAAATGGTACAACTAGGAGATTTACTTACAAACGTCAGAGGAAGTGAGGACTTCTGAAGGTAGTCAGGTTTGCGAGCTGAATCAATTCCTGGTTGAAGCAACCGTCGAATGAATGGAATGATTTTCACTTGTTGACCAGTTCCTGAGAAGCGGGAATTTAATTAGTACCGTGCCGACAAAAATGTGTACTACATTTCCAACTTTCAAACGGTACTACATCAACTGACAAAAACATTTCGCGACCTTCATAAGCCTTGACCTTGACGCTGTAGGGTCTTGCACAATCCATCCTGCCTCCATGCTGTCACCACACCTCCAAATAGCACCTGAAATGACAAGAAAAGTACAAGCACGAGTTCTGGCATGAGCTCCTCAAAGCACTGACACTGGCACTCAAAAGCGACGTCGAAACGACGAGCTGGAGAATATCAATGTGATTCTATTTTTAAAAACCCTAATCTTTGCCGCTTAAAATTTTGTCGCCTCAATATGTTATCACCGTATGATTACAAATATTACAGTTTGAACATTAGGTATTCCATCTGAGCTATACCTCTTGCGGTTCAGTTTTAGTTTTTATTTCCCGCTACGTTCCACGACACGACCGCGATCATTGTTACGGCGTAGATCATTGCAACGCACTAGATACAACGTTGCGGCCTCTACAGTGACGGCCTCTCTTCTACATGGTTGTTGGAATTTCATCCGGTTGAGGGCCTCTACATGGTTGCCGGAATGTAGGGTCCGCCGAGCCTTCCCGCAAAGTGCCCCGCCTCCCCGTTCCTAAAACTAAGATAAAATCCGGCTGACTCGGGGCAGCCCAAAGGGAGCATGAAGAAAGAAAGAAAGAGGAGAAAGAAACTGGGATCCTTGACACCTGGCAGTACGGCCGTTTGTAAAAGTTTGTGCAACTAAGCGAGTCGATACAACATGTAGGCCAAACTTCAAGTTGTCTCATGATGCTATACATGGCCAGTAGTACATTGTCCTTATGTTTGAGATCATTGTTGTCAAAACAATGATCTAAACTCGGCTTGAGCTCAATGAGATAATCTTACTGAGATTGCTTGCTCATTGCGGAACCCACAAACATTGATTTTTCAAAGTGATAGGAATGGATTTTTCAAAGTGATAGGAGCCACATCGGCTATGTGGCTACTAGTTTCCCCCTATCTATACTCGGGGCCAAAAAAAATAATTAATTCGATTTTGCCCTTGTGAAACATTAAAGACACACACTTTCATAGAGGCTGCTTGAAGAAAGTCATCGTTTTATCCAAATAGAGAGCAGAACGAGCCACCTCCACGTACCAGGTACGATCTATTCTACGTGCAGTATGTAACGTCAGCTAGAGTAACTGGGGGCTAAGTAAAAGGCCAAAAGGGTGGGGACGAGTGAAAATGATTGATTCGGATCGGCTAAAGTCAACCACGCTCCAGAGAAGGAAGAAAACATCGGTGGCCTATTTATAAATATATCCGTTGGAAGAACTTGTCGAACTTGTTCTAAGTTACTCGACCGTTTCTGTCGCCCATATTTCTGGGCATTTACTTAACAGAGTAACTGCATTGCTGGAAGGGAATGTCATGTTTCGTAAATGAATTTCCGCCTCACCTCTTTTCTTCATGTCATGCCATATTTTTGGACTCCATGTCCTTATGAGGTTCTTCTATTGTCCAGGACGTAGCGCATGCAACAATATTCTCCTATACTCGTTCTGGACATAGAGTATTGTATACTGTTTGCCAAGTATTTGGCCGGAGGAAATTGCTGTTTGCTCCTCTATTCTATGTTATTACTGTATCTTAACTAAGTTGGTTCTGTGGATCTTTTGTGGACTTCAGACAAAAGTAATGCAACATCACTTAATCGTGCGAATCGTTTCCTTTCTCATCTCCACTGGACGAATCTAGAAGGATCAAATTTATACATGAAAATTTTGGTTGCTACTACGTGTTTACTCATGGCAGCATATCATGTAAATCGGTGATTACTATGCCTCCATATTTTACTCTCTTCTTCAATGTGAAGATGAAGTGGTGTTCATAATTCTATTTGACAGTGATTGTCCAACATGATTGCTCTTCCAAAACAGTACCAGCAGAATCGGTTCGGACACAGAAAGAGCCAGATTCATATTCATTCACGTTGCCTGCTGACAAATTGACGTGTTTCGTTTCCACGTCTGGAAGAAGGGAATCTAAGACAGTGGTGGTTACTTCGTGAATGCAAATGGGCGAGAGTTTCCTGCGTCTAAAAAGGTGAAATTACGAGAGGGGAATCTTTGGGCCTTGTTCTTACGATCCTCCTCATAGGAAAAGCAGAGCTTCTGCGACAGCATCCAGCTCTTTAAACTACATGAACGACAATATATATTCAGATCTCAATGATATAAGTTTCAAATATCAAAAAGAATATTGAAAAATAGGAATATACCTTGATAATAAATTCACATTGTAACAATAAAAAGTGAAGGTGAAATTTTTAAAAAGCTTGGAAGTGAAATATTTGAAAAATATTTCAAGAAAATATTAATACATTGATCTAAATCATGTTTGTTAAATACAAACTACATTACTGAAATATATTCTAACAAAGAGAGGCCAATGAAGGATGGCCATGTAACCTCCATGGCACCACGGCTATGATGGGCGGTAAGAGTCCACTTGCATAGACTGAAATGTATATCTACAGTACATATAGCCGGACATGTTCACTCTTGCTGTAAACTTCGGCCTTCGTGCTTATTGAAGTATGAGGTACAAGTACAGTGGAGGAGAATGCATTGATGGCGACTTATTGACTGGACCAGGGACTCAGAGTTTCGTATTGTAAATAGTTTTCATGGACTTAATGTCTACGAAATTGCATACAGCCAAAGCGGTTTCTTTGCGTGTGCTGTGACTCTTAGTACATTGCCAACAAGGGAAACTACCTAATGAAGTGATGATCACTTTGTTGGTACGCTTGTATTCATATCACTTCAAGAGTTAACCGATTGGATATGACGAAACTTTACCTCTTGTAATGTATGTGGGTGACACCTCGCACAACCCATGAAAGAAATATCTCTCGAGATTTTTCTACTCTGCTGCGAAGATCTGAGACGGACTCATATATATTGTTACTGGTTTGTTACATAGAGATATCCAATTATTTGCATTTCTGTTGGAGATATGATCTCTTGCTAAGCGGGTTTCCATTGGAAACCCGCAAGAGATTATGATTATGAGATATGACTTTCGTATGATTAGCCTTTCCAGTAAGTTGCAGGAGAGATCAATTCTTTGATCCAAGCTTCATGAGTCCGCCTCGCGACTATAGAGGACACTTCGATCCAGCTTCCTTACATTCCTCATCTGAGTCGTGCTCTATGGATTTACAAGCCTGTGAATTTGAGTAAGATTCCGATCAGATTACAGAGCATACTTATCAATCATCTACAGATATTCCATCTTCCGTGAAGGCTGCGGATTTTCAAAGCTACAAAGCCAATGACAGTTTGCATACTTCATTTTCGGAATTGGAGCATGTTTCGAACTCACCTTTGATGAGAGCGACAAGCGCCTCCAAATCCCTTACAGAGGATCCGTTTTCTCCAACAGCTTCTCGGATCACTTGTTTCATCTCCAAAGCTTTCTTTCTTGCTGATCTGCCTTCATCGCCTTGGAATAAGGCCCTCACTCCTCTTTCCACTTCTTTTCTGTCCACAACTTGAGCGCGTTCTCTTGAAATTTCCAGGCCGGCTTGTGCCTCACTTACCAACCACCTACAAGATTGCGGGAGACATCAGCTCTGGAAATTTGCGAGTTCATCATAAACGAGATTTACAGGACTCAAAAATCGACGAGAAAGCACACAAGGTTAAGATAACTATCATCTGATTTGACGCAGAGCAATGAAACATTGTTAACTTCTGAAACTTCTGTGGAGTGCAGGCAGATCCAGCTGATAGCACAGAAAAATGATGACTTCTATAACGTGATCAGCTCGCGAAATTACTAGTGCCATGTCTGCTCAGCAGATGCTACTAGCTTGAGAAATGGAAGTCCAGCCAGAACCGGGGGACCGATCTCCTGAGTTATCTGACCTGGAATTGATGGGCTGGTCCATGAATATAGGCCACGCCAATATAGGAACTCCCATGTAGAGGCTTTCCATGATGGAGTTTTGGCCGCAGTGGCTCAGGAATCCTCCGACTGATGGATGCGCAAGAACTTGCAGTTGAGGTGCGAATTTCACAAACAAACCTCGCCCCTTTGTTTGAGCAATGCAGTCGGGAGGTATTACTGAGAATAGATCGATGAAGTCTGAGCCTGGGAGTCTCGAGGGAGGATTCAGTACGCACACAAATGGCTGCTCACTGTTCTGCAGTCCATAGGCAATCTCCAGGATCTGTTCTTGTTTTAAAGTAGACACAAGACCGAAGGCCACGAAGATCACCGAGTCGGTAGAATGAGTGTCGAGAAATTTCAGGATGGGATGTCTTTCCTGATCCCCAATTTCTTTCTCTTTGGATCCAGGGCCCAGGGAATAATGTTCCAGAAAAGTTGGTCCCACATGGAAGATCTCTGGCATCTGCATTCAGAGTGGTCTACGTGCGTTATGCACACATTCGGCCTGTGACCAATCGTCATGAGAATTGAAGCTCAAGGAACAATTGAAGTCTACAATTCGGGAATATTTTGACTGAGCTGAGGGGTGGAGCAGAGACGAAAACCTTCGTGCTCTTTCGGTGAGGCGAAGCCTTCAGGATCCTTTGGAACTCGCGGAAAGGCCCACCTTCCATGGCTCTGCAGTTGCTGAAGACGATGACCTCAGCCTTTTGTAAATAAGTTCCGTGGTCCATAGTCATGTCACGCATGTGATGGTCTGCCAAATACGGCTCCGGAAGGTCGGCAATGCGGGTCATTGACAGACCTGGAAGACTGATTAACTCCTCCCAGCTCTCTGCACTCTCATATCCTGGCAGCTTCAGAATGCCTGCGGATTCGAGTCGCTGGACGTAAATGACAGCCGAGAGGAGACTAGCTGAGAACAACGAGTAGATGAAAGCTGGAATTCCGCACTGAGAAGCCGTCTCCTGCGATCATCCGAGACAACGAGGTCAGTGATACTGGAACAACGAGGAATCAAATCCCATGATCAACACACTTACTGCGCAAGCACGAGAAAGCAGTTTCTCCCTGCTCTGCAGAAAGGAAAGCATATCAACGATTGTATCGATGAGCTTTTGGAGTTCCATAGTGAGCACTGAAACCGATCGCAGCACCAACCAGTGTTTTTGTGAGCCAGAAATCTGCAAGAATGCATGTCGGAGGCGATCCATGCTCCACGCTGGCCTTCAAAACTGCTGAAAAGTCGGCTTCAGTTCGCATGTAGTACTTGATTCGAATCTCCAGGTCCACGATACCATCACCGAAGGTCACTTCGGTGTCACTCACGGGTTTCAGATGGAAATCCAGTCCATCTCGTCTCGAGGAGACCGGCAGTCTACTCTCGAGCTCGAGAAGTCGTTCAATCTCGCTGGCCGCCGCGAGGAGGGTCACCGTCACTCCCTGCGAAGCGAGTAGCCTGCCCAAGTGATAGAAAGCGTTGGCATGGCTGGGTATGCAATAAGGCATCAGCCAGACGTGCGGCTTCGGTCCGGCTCTGCAGTCTCTGAGGCCTAGAGGAAGATCCCGTTTCTCTTTCGCCCCTTGCTCCATGGCGCTCGATCGGTGGTGACAGCACTCTGTGGGCCTCTCGATTTCTGCCACGATTTCACTTCCCCACTCGTACAAACCAAACAATCCGTGCATTCACGAGCTGCTATTAATTACGTCACTTTCGCTCTTGTCCTTCGAAAGCAACCCTCCCCCCGCAACACAAATCGACCTGGACTCCTCTACACCCCCCTGGCCTTCGAGTCCTCGTTCTGATTCAACTGTCTGACACCTGACACCTGACACCTGACACAAGGCCCCGATCGCTTGTCTCGACGATTGCTCAGACAAACGAGAGTGCAGGTCCGATCGTGTCCGAGTGTAGGCCCAGTCTCCCTGCCGTGTTCTCGTCGCCTTCCGGGCTCGTTACTCTTCGAGATATTTGCACATGTTCGTCCCCATCCCACTGAATCCGTGAAGGACTCAGCTGAGACCTGGCTCCGAGTTCGATGCGAGGTTCTGAAACTGCAGATTCGCCAGAGTGGGCATCACGTAAGTTCATCTATTTTGGACCTACGCCGGAACTCTCCGTCTGTGAACTCATTCCAACTTGTCCTAACTTTAGCTGAATCTCTCGAAGGTCCTATTCAAGCGCAGGTGATGATTTGACGTCATTTGGAATGAATTTCGTCACTTGAATGTCGTACCTCCCATCACTCCTCACTGGCCACACATTCGTAATCTAATGAGAGAACACACTCCTGACTGGCCACATATTCGTAATACAAATGAGAGAACCGTGAGTATCATTCTTCAACTTATTATTCACCCTCTCTTATACAGAATGTTCACTTATTTAGATATAACACTAATTAGTTTTATCGATTGCAGGGTATTCTCGTTGGTTGACAAGTCTTCATCGGATGCTCTGTTTTTTGGAAACAGTTCCACCTGGATTTTTGGGATCTGTTCGGGTACAGTGGCAGAATTCACCATCGTGATCTATTGGTGCCAGCCCCACGTGACTCACATTTGGTTCATCTACGGATCACTCGTGTCCCCATCGCTTTTGTTGTTGTACTTCGTACACTTTTTCTTCATTCCCGTAACAGAAGGTGACAAGTAGTGGAGACGTAAGGAAGTTGTTAAAGCACGGGACTATCAGTTTGCCTATGGATTTGCGCATAATCAAATGAGATCTGGGCCGAAGTGAGCCGTCAGAAAGTAATATATTTATATTTATCCGGCGCTTCTGACATAACCGAAGGTTGCAAAACTCTCAGTGATGAGATGTGAGAAGCGTTCTCGTCGCAGTTGGCTTCCTCCAGGTGGAAGTCGAAAGCGCTTGTCATCTGAAGGCGATCGGCTGGCTCATCGATCGAGCCATATCTCTAATATCACCTAGTATTTTTAATCAGATATAGTAGATGCGGTGTAAAATATAACTATATACTGTAAACATGATGATACTCGGATGATGCATCAATTTTTTAATCAGATATAGTAGATGCGGTGTAAAATATAACTATATACTGTAAACATGATGATACTCGGATGATGCATCAATTTTAAGTAATTATGAAATTTTCTAAAGCTTTCATGACGAGAAAACCAACTTGTGACGACATCTGACTACTCCATGAAAGCACGATTGCAGTTTGTATATCATTTCCAGCCTGGCGATTCGACATTGTTGCATGATGATGATTGAAGGTGATACTGTATCTGATTTGAACATCCACATATTATCGACATTTTCTCCAAGAGATTGCATAATAGAGAAGATAATTGTGAATACGGCTTCAGATAGGAGTGTTTGCAAGTTGATGGAGCTTTGCTTTCTATGTACAGTCGATATAAGATACACGTCTCGATCATCTCCTCCTTCGAGACAACAATAATTGAAAGGTGTAAGAGAACGATTGATGTCTTGGGCTGTGATCTACCTTTATGGCTTGGTTCCGTTCTCAGAATACGGCAAAATCCTCGTGTGTGACCACAGACGAACGATATGATGGCTTCAGGTTCCAGGTGCCTTCAAGACTCTTTGAGTCGTCACTACTAAGCGTACTGGTTCCTGACCATGCAACGCCATGGTGTTGTCGTAACTGCGGACGAGAGGATTATAATTTCAGGGGTGGTCTGATTGATCTGTCTGAACTCAAAAGTTCACGGACCGGTGGCAATTGCTTTCAAAACAGAGACTTCATTGATTAGACCTGTTCCAAATCCTAGCAAAAGTCACCAATCGCTTCCTTCTCCAGTGCTGCTAAAAGACTTCTCGGCCGATCGCCTCCTCATATGATCTGAGCACGAACATCACTCAAGCTCCTGACATGTTGCCGCAGTCCTAGAGGACATCTCTTGCCACCTCCAGCTTCTCCGGCTTCAGTCTCTAGGTTTTGGCCACCTTATCCAGAATGGCACGACTTCCCGGGTGCATGCACCAAGACAGATCGTAATAGCTCGGGGATTCTGCCACCTCGATGGCTGGAGTGTTTCTCGGTAGCTTTAGAATGCTTGCTGATTCCAGCTGACTGATGTAAGATGACAGTTGGGACGTTAGATGCTGCAAATAACGAGTACACATAAGCTGGAATGCCGTGCTCGAAGGCAAACTCCTGCATTTATAAAGCGATGAAAAATTATCATAACAATATCCATCCCTCGATAGTGGAGCAAATGAAACAAGAACTTCTGATTGCTTTGCTACCAAACTGAAGCATGCAACTTATCTTAATCAGGTTTTTAGTTGAGAGTTCTAGGTTTGCAAATCTTATCTCCTGCTGCCTGTAAATTGTAATCTTGCTATATCCTTATATCTTGCTATATCGATATCCTTTGCAACTGCAAAGGATATCGAAATCAAATGGACCTTACTTACCCAAGGGTCCATTCTCCTACTCGAAGTTCTACCGGACGAACTACACACCCCACCATTCCATTGGCATGATTCACGAAACCTTCTCTCGACACTTGAGTTTCTGCCTCTGCGAAGGATTCAAAGCATCGAGCTGGGACGAGATCACGGGATTCATGAGCCTGTTGATCCGACTAGGGAACCGAGCTCATTCGCCTTCTTATTCGAGCCAATAAAACGACTGAAACCCTGAAGGTCGAAAGTCCACTGACCACGATCGACGACACTGAACTCTCGCAGCGTTCAGCTGCATCCCGAAATCTCACATCTCACAGCTCGCTCCCGATAAGCGCAGCTGCTTGCGATGCCCGCACTGTCACTGAGCATCTGCGAAATTCGAAGCATGGCGAGTGACGACAAGTGGAGAGCTTCATTCGCTCCTTGCGCCGGTAGGCCATCGACAAACATGACCGGCAACCGGCTCTAGCCTCTCGACCACCATCTCCAGCAACTCCTCGTCACGATTCTGAGTCATCGGCTGCCCTTCACCATCGCTGCCACTCTGGCAGCAACATCCGACGACCTTCCCCGATGCAGATCATGACTGCGCAGTCTGGCTCAGGGCGTAAGATTGCCGTCGATGTCATCTTATATTTACGGTTGGATGACGGAGAGTGTACATACAAACAATTAGTCCAGTCTAATACCTGCCGTACACGACGCTCATCTAGAGGACTGCCAAATTTAGAACAAACTTGGATAGGTCCAGTCAGCGGAGGACGGTCCAAGGCTAGGCTGGCTGCGGAGCTGTCATGCACACGTGGATCAAGACTCAGCCCGCAGCCACTCCCACTAGAGTTCAGTTAAAAGTGGAGGCAAATAGTCCGTTAACACCGCGGCCCTATCAAGCCAAAGGTCAGCCAATCTCTCTCGTCGTATAAAACGTCCGGAAGTCACGAACGCCGTCCGGACGTTTTATCCGAGATGACGTCCGTAGATGATTTTTCGTCGAGACTCGTGGCCGAGTCGGCAAGACCGTCTCGACGACGTTGACAGGGACAGGGAGGCCCCTCCTGAGCGGTGGGGACTCCAAAGGAAAAAAACCCGATTTTGTTTTGAGTATCAATCGCGTTTTTGGTTTATTAGGATAAGATTCGAGTTTCGTAAGATTTGAATACTGTATTAACAAATGATAATATGTCGGAATTTAATAATATTAATAATAACTGATTAAAACCGAATATAACCCGTTTTTTTAACTCAGAGAACGGGTTTATTTAAAAAACCCGATGGTAAAAAACCGCGCCGTGCCACCCCTGTTTCTCGCGCACCGTGCGGGAGAAAGTTGGGGCCGTGCGAGGAGCAGGAGCGGTGCTCGTCCGCGCCCATCGTCATGATGACTTGGCACCGACTCGGACCAGAGGCTGATTCGGCAGCGAACGCTGACGCGAACACGGAGGCTAATGCGAACGCGACGGGTCTCGGAGCTGCTCGAGGTTTGTTCCAGGCAGAGCGATGTTGTGGTGATGGCGGTCGAATGCTTCGGAGCAGGAGGCGAGATTTCGCTCGAGTCCGCCATGGCCTCGTGATGGAGAGGGCTCCGCGGAGCGCACCTCTGTCCCGATTGCGGTGACGGCGGGGGGTTCATGCTCAAGAGGAATTCGAGAGCCTCGCAATCCCGCTGCCCCAGCCCAGCTCTCAGCGACGCGCGCAACGATGCTCTGCGTGTCGAATCGTCAGTCGGGCCTAGCTCGTATGCATTCTTCCGCGCGCGCATGGAGACTCTCTGCGGCGTCCGGCCCATCGCAGCTCAGATTTGATTATTCTGCGCGTCGGATGGTCTCCGGAGACAGCAGCAGGGGTTTTGCATCACCGAATCACCGGATTCCTCCGTTGAAATTGAGTTTCTCCAGCTGCTGGCACTTGTCCCGGAAATATGGCAGGGTCGGGGCGGAAGGGTTTAGGGAGTCGGGCCGTAGAATCGCCACGACGAGAATTGTTGGAAGTAAATTCGACAGGGGAGTTCGGAGAGTCGGACGAAAGAGGACGAAATTGGAGGACGGAATTCAGAAAGGATTCAAGAAGGTTGGATTAGAGGCGCAGTACAATAACCTGCCGCAGTGGTCCGGAGCTGTGCCCTATGTAGTGGTGGGCTTGGAGACCGTGTTCATGGTCACCTGGGCTGCAGGCTTGAGGGGAAGAACTCTACAGGTCGGTGTGGACTACTTGTCCGGGGACGGCCTGCTGATCATCATGCTGGGATTCAATTTCGTCGTCGGCTGGCTCGCTTCCCAAGTCAGCACTTGGAGAGTTCAAAGGCTGGCCCCGAGTTTGCTTCCTCGAGAAAAGAGAAGCAAGACGAAACCAGGATTCTTTGATTTTCTCGTTTCCTTCTGGATCAACTTCATTCCCTTCGGCAATTTTCTGGCCTGGCTGAGAACTGCTGTGAAGGAGGGGCGGGCGGAGAGTGCAGCCAATGCTCTGGTCTACATCGTGCCGTCCTTGTTCAGGCTGGTGCTTTGGACCCAGGGCATCAGTCTCGGCCGAGTAGAGCAGGTTGCCTGGTTGCTGGGCGCAATCCATCGCCCTTACGATGCTGCTCGACTTCGCAACGACAGACTGATAGCGGCTGTAGAGTTGAGGCAAGAAAAAGCTTCGAGGGAGAAGGATGGGAAGGATGCTCTATCCGAAGAACCTCAACCGAAAGAGTTGACTCTCGAAGAGATGGCCATCATCCAGCAAAGAAAGGAACTCGAAGAGTTCGATATGCTGCTGGCCAAAAGCACGAATTCCACCTCTGCGATTCCAGGTACTTTCCCGACATTTTTTCTCAGCTCGACACTATGATTGAATTCTGTTCTTTGTCTCTGTATAAAGGTGTCTCTCGCACTAACTCCACGTTTTGATCATTACATCATTTATCTTTATCTCCAATTGAATTCCTTCTCCTTTTTTTCTTCTTTTTCTTGTGAGTTATCATTTTGAGCTCTTCAATTTATATGCTTCTCCTCGTTTCAGTGTCTAGGTGGAGGTGGCTTGATTCCAGCTGATTCTCCATTTTTTTCACTTTCCTCGATATAGTCTCTGTTCTTTGTCTCTGTACATCTTGTGTATAGTACAATGCTGATTGCCAGCTGATTGTTTTCTCACACTGAGTACTCACAAAAACAGTGCAGCGTCGAAATTTTTTTGGTCACATTCTATGATAGTACTGCAAACTCGGTACTCTTTGGTTGTCCTGAGTTCAGGGTTTAGTACAAGAATACAGGAGAACAAATGTTCGACAAAGATTTAGAAATGTGTGTCTCAACGTAGATCTGAGTCGATCTGCGTTTATATGGTGGCAAGTAGAAAGAATCATGTAAAGTTTCATGGAGCACAGGAGACGATGTAGACATGTTTTAATGATGGGGTTTTACGTGGATCCACGCCTGGTATTCTGGTCAATGAAATCGCCAGAGAGAACGTTAGGGTTTAACCACGTGAACTATATTTGACACGAGGTAACTGTTTCCGCCAGGAGATATGATTGACAGTAGACGGCGTTCTTATGCGTTGGCACTTTTCTATAGTATAACAAGGGGGTTCACCACAGAATCTTCTGAATCCCGCTCTACAATGCTTTGAATGCTCAGGCTCGGTAATGGCACTTCTCATCCGTCATCCGAGACCAGTAATTCATGGTGCTGTGGATTTAGCACTACGTTTGCTGCCAAAGGCGTGGTATTATTCCCATCTGGTCGTCTCTGTGTGCTAAAAATGTCTTCCAAAAATGAATCCGGATATCGTCATTACATGTTATAAAGTCTCTGCATCATAGCTCAGCGACAGTGCTGGCCATGCTTAATTCATAAATTTCAAGATTCAGCATAGGGTATCACTGTTTGTGCCTGCCAGCAAACGGTTGTCGAACGAGAAAGGTTGTACTTCTGCACTATGTACTATGGTCTCTCGAAATTCGCGAGATTGCTAACTTGATGGTATCAACCTGTACCCATAAGTGATTGGCTTGAAAACCGTAGACCTGGCTGAGCTTTGCTAAACATTGTCGTTGCGGACTATTGGAATTAACGATTCACAAATTTACTTTCTGTCGAGTCGCAGGATCTCCTGAAGATTGGTCGGTAGGTGATGTTTTGCAATGGTTGGCGAAGGAAGGTTTCGCAAGATATGCCACCAACTTCGCCGAGAACGACATAGATGGCTCAGTCCTGATGCAGCTCACCATCGAAGACTTAAGAGACGAGCTTGGGATACAAAGCCTTGGAGATAGGAAGAAGTTCGAGAAGTCTATTGAACAGCTGAAGTCGAAAGACTGGAGATAACGTTTAGGCTCATCAGATTGTAAATACTGTAGTGAGATTAATGCTCGAGAGCACATTTCATTTTCCGAAAAATTTGAGCCGATCTGCGGAAGGAGCTCTGTAAATTTGTACTTTCAAATGTCTCATCATTGTACGATTCAAGTCCCATGTGTGAAGACGTGGGAATCCAATGACATATTATTCTTGGTTGGGCAGTCAATATCATCCAAATGTACAAAGCCACACCCTGTGACGTTCACTGCGGTTCTGCAGAGAAACAAGACAGAAAAGTCGTTTTGACAAGATTCTCTCCTGATTGCACTGGAGCTTCAACACTCTGCATCTCGTGTCTGAATGTACTGATTGTTGTTTGCCTGTTGTCATCGAAATCATATTTACGCTGGGCGGTGCTAGCATGGAACAACTAGGAAGGACAGAACTGATAAGGGAGGAGGAGGAACAGGCGAAGGACCACTCAGGACTGAAGAGTATATGTTTTATCGCTGGACTCGAACCGAGTCAAGTCCGAAGTTTCCTGGTGCCAACGAAGAAATCCCTCATCTCATGCACATGCTTTCTGGCATGGCATTCGGGACGGCACTTTATATGGTTCTCTTGTGTGTCATAATCATGACGGGTTTCTGTCAGTTACAGTTCTGCTGTGTTCAGAACTTGAAATAAAAAGACCTGGAGGTCAGAGTTGCGAAAGCAAACAAAAGTTGTCAGTCATTTGCCCTTGGCGTACCAGATTCGTCGAGCCTAAATGTGAACTTAAATGTCAAAGTCGTGTTTCTGTACGGTTCGTCTACCAACAGTAATAATTCCATTCGATGATCTGGCAGTCTGATCAATACTAGCTACCAAGATGAATGTAGCTGATACAGAAGCTACCTGTCTCTGTCGAAATATGTTTGTGACAGGTTACATGCTCTTGCATGCTGCGGTCGGTAGAGACTGCAATCAATCATGGACTCTCTGAGCAAGTCGTCCAGCAGAGAACGTACAGTACCCCATCACAGTTGCATCGACCACATGCGATGCTCCAAATTGATACAATCTAGTTCTGAGATGAGCTCACCACGGTCAGCCTTTGGCATCTCAAGGACTTTTGGATCATGCTTTTGAACTGCTTTACGCGGGTGTCCTTGACCTGATTGTATATATCCACGACACTTTCATACGTCTGCAGAAAATGAAGTGATTCAAAGTCGTCATCATAATGTAGAGCACGAATGGGCTTGACTAGAGCATCGCCCACTGCAGGTAGAGTTCACAGGGGGACAAGAAAGAGGTCACTCGATGTAAGAAGGTGTTGGAATGATTAAGTGAAACTAAAGTCTATACTGACCCACAAGGATCCGGGGACCATAACAGTCAGGCCATATAAAGCAGGAACAGGATTCTTCTCCCTTCAGCTGGAGAAGACTGTGGAAGGGTTCTGCCTTGATTCGTCTCTCGTGGACTGCTCCGCACTGATTGAACCAGTGATTCTGTTCACGTTCTGGCAACAGGATTTCTCGCACTCACAAGGAGGCTGATCATCTTTGAGAAGACCATCGACATGTCATCTAAGTTTGATGGCACTGGACAGTGGTTCAGCACTGTCGTCCGTCTCCCATCTTGGTCCTATACCGATCACAAAGCTGCTGATTCAAAGCTTTACCCCGTTGGATCCTGGCTCTATTTCTCCACGGACTCTGGGCCCTTACTGCGATCTGGCCTATCACTCGTTTTGTGGACGTCAGCCATTGCGCACAAAAGCTACACCACTTGTATGCGCTTGTTCGAGATTGCGAGATTGCGAGGATCTTAAGTCTTTAAAAACTTAAGATCTTCTGGACCGAAACCGCAGACTCCATCCCCGCAGAGCTTCTACTCTCTAGGTTGCAACCACTCTAGCAGACTTCGGAGTGGAACATTTGGTCATCCAGAGTCTGGTTGTAGGATGGTACTCGTAGGCTTGTTGGGGGTCTTTCGTCATGCTTCGGTCTAAGAGGACAAATGTGCTGGTGAAATCTGGGCTACATTACAACTTCTTTCTGTTTCAGGTTCCAAAAAAATTGAACAAATAGCACGATGCTTTTTCGTTAGAATGTAAAGAGTTCATTCTCGGTGAAAAAAAAGGACGGTAGGTTTCATGATTGTCAAAAGCGACAGCTCGGGAAGACCTTATGTCACGAAAACCAGCACGGAAGCTCGAGTGTTATTTTTCTTCACTGATTGGATCATCCGCTTGCCGGGGGTGGTGGGGGGAATCGTTCACGTGTAGCAACCTGAAAAATGAACGGACGGCAACTACTCAGATACCGTGAGCAATTCGTGAGGTTTGTGAGAACACCGATCAAGAGCAAGGAGTTGAGAGTTTCACTGCAGAAGAAACAAAACTCTGGACGTATGCCTTGTGCATGGCGGCCACTTGAATCGAAACTGAAACTCTTCACTAGTTAATGCCACTAGCCTGGTAGAGTATCTTCACCAGCCTTCAACATCACCACTCTGCGACAAGGCTTGTGATGCTAGAAGCCGCCTCAGTATCTGCATGTGTATCTGGGTAATCCTTCACCTTCATCACTCGCTGTCCTCATTTTAGCAATACTAGTCTCCACCAGAGTCCATATTTCTTCGCTTTCCTCTTTTCGCTGCCTTGCCTGATTCCAGCCTCTAGATTCCAAGGCCTTGATGGGACCCCTTCTGTCATCATGAACTTTATTTCTTCTTATTTTTTCAATCTTTGATTATGCACTCAGTCGTGTCTACGGGCTTCATGCTATGACAGCCACATAGCCAAAAGAGTTAGTTACACTCAATAAATCGTGTAAAAAAGACCATGCTGTATTAGATTCATCGAGCTTGGTGAAATTAGCAATTCGTACAGAGACTTCTAATTATTAGATGCCGGGCCTCGTCTCATCAAAATAAAGCATCTGTTAGTAGAGTCAGCTCCTGCACAAGATAGGAAGTTACAAGTAAAAACCGTCTATAAAAACCTGAAGCATGGGGTTGTAGGGTGTTTAAAATCAGGAGAACCAAGATTTCTGCGTAGACTGGATCAAAACGGTGTTACATTGCAGGTATATGAGGTGAAGACGCTCATTTAAGAAGCACATGTTTGTCTTCTAGTTGCCTTGCCTCAGGTAGCGTAGCACCAACAACTTGTTAGCAGGTCAATGTTGGTATCAAGGATCTATTTCATGGACTCTGGCATCAATCTTGGTCAAGGCAGGCTAGCACTTCCCGATGTAATCATCTACGCGAGGAGGCCGTGGAAGTATGTGTCACGAGCAGAGATTAGGGGACTGTACGCTGAGCAGTGTTTGTCTTCCTGCAATCTGCAAGGCATGGAGCTGGGTCTGTCGCAAACCGCTGTAGGTTCGAAGCCGGTGTGGCAACTCTAGTAGTGGTCGATGGGGACGGAAGAATCTGACGAAAGTCTGGACGTATCAGGACAGGCCATGGCAGAAAGGTAAGACGATTTGGACAATGTGGACGCTGCTATTCCGGATCCCCAAGATGACTAACCAAGTCTGAACTTCTCCAAAGACTGCTCCCAGCCATACAATCTCATCGTTCCCTATACAGCAACTCCGCCTCATGTTACAGTAACAGCATCAGCCGGAGTTGGCCCCTGATCCCTGAACCCACTCTCCCCTCAGAGCAGCTTAACAAATGAGGAGGCGGTCCTGCTCACGAGAAAAAATCATTTCCCCAACACTTATCACACCACTATTGGAACCACGAGCATTCGATGGTAGCAATTTCAGACTGGTTTGGAGCTCGAGGCTTCGCGAGTGCTTGTCCTCCTTGCTTGATCAGCAGCAAAAGTCCAGTCATCAAGGATCACAAGCCATGATGCAATCCTCGAAAGTTGCAAGCTCCACATGCTTCCCTCGACATACGTTTCGTATATCATAGATAGAGCATACATCTCATCCTGGAACCGAGAAAGGTTTGGTGCCTGGAGTCACTGCCTGTGCGAGTAAGAGAAGTACAAATCTCCCACAGTCATAGTCCGCATGAACGCTGTCCATCTCAGAGTCATAGAGAACTGAGGAGGACACACTGAGTTAGAAAATTTATATTTAATCCTGGAGAAGGTGCACACCAGAGGAGAGCAGAGCAAGTTGCCTCTGCTTGCCGTCCTCGTCTTCTGTCCCCCCTCTCTCTCTCTCTCCCCGACTGTCTCCGTCTACAGAGTGGAAAGACTAGTCAAAGATGCAGCGAGGGTAATCAGCTGGTGTGCGAAGTTGCAACCTCCGCCATTATCATTCCCTTTCGTCTATGGAAAGGCGACCTACCTCCGCACGTGGAAAAATCGGCGCAGGCACACTTCTTCCACAGCCACACCACAGCAGCGGATCTGATCTGGACACAACATCTACTCCGGTCTTTCGTTGCAACGACGCCGGACAGCAACACTTTTGCCTTTCTTGCTGAAGAATTGGTCGTAGCTCAGTCACGCAGTTCATGCAGACATGGACGGAGCAGAATGTGTGCCTCCATCTCCATCTAAATATTACTCATGCGGTTGGCCCCCTTCACGTGAAACTTAACCCGACATACACTCATTGACGATGGGGTGAGAGAGAGTGCCGGGAGACCATTCCCTTTTTTCCTATTTTATGAATCATGTTGTGTAATCTCTTCTCGGCAGTCTCCATTAACACAAGTAAAATCACTCCTTATAGCCATCTCACTAGATGATGATTCTTCGCATAATCCATGTACAGCGGGTGATCGAGGAGTTTTAGGTGCACTGTGACATATTTCCCATCGTGATGCTGTTGGGGTCTAGCCCGTCTAACTCGCTTGGATTTCATCCAGGTACGACTTGGTGGGATCTTCGTAAAAGTATGAGGCTAGTTTTAACTTTGAAATCTTCAAAGAGGAAGACTAATCGAATGGCACTCGGACAGAAGTGCCCGCAAGTCTTTGCTGGTGCAACTGAAGAGAGAGAGAAGACTTGTGCATGGTAATCAAAAGCAGCAACCAAAACGAGAGGGATAGTTTGTTCTTGCTACTCCTAAGCAGGTAAAAACCTTTTAGCAAGTGTCCGAGTTCAAAGCATTGTGGTAGGATATTTGGCCAGCTTGCCTGCCAGCACCTTGGCAGAGATCAAGCGAACCAGAAGTTATTTCATAACTTATGATGGACTGATTCACTTTTTCTCCTCCCACTCCAGCACCTTTCAGACAGAAGATGGAGCGGGTATTCACCGCTGTTAGACTCTAACAGATTTCAGACCGTGACCGGGCCACATGTCAAGCTTTTCAGGGTGTTTGTTAACAAACTCGGGGAATCTGACACCGTCGGAGTCA